TCAATAAAATACTCCTTAATTTGACCTTGAGAGGACCTCGGCATAACCTCTAGATGACCTTGAGGAATCAAGGCACCTCCGTATTCGGACTCAGCGACAACAAAAACAAAAATTTTATTTTTTTTTTTTCATTGAAACAATTTTTGTATTTATTATTTGACCCTCAAATGACCACGTAGCTGGCGTGATGGGGGTTAGCAGACCTCGGATTTTTAGTTAGCGCGTCGAATAACATAGGGATATAGAGATTTGGTTCAATACGTAGAAACTTTTTTCCTTTTTTGTGTTTTTTTAGCAAGAAGAACAAAGTAAGTTTTCGCTGAATTTTCTTAACAAGCACACCTCTCTTCAATGTTGGTATACGGGTACATTTAGTTTGCAGCTTGCTTTAGCAACTATTTTCAAAGTTGTTTACAATGGCTGCTATTCCACAAAAAAACAATGTTGGTGGTGGTGTTGGTTCCTGGACTTGAACCCACTACTACACCTCAGCAACCGCCTCTATTTTTATTACTCGTAGTTAATTTTCACCAAGCCGCAACAGCAGTTAGTGCCGTTTAGAAAAGGATATCACACCTTAAAGGGGTGAAATGCAATTAGACTTTTGGTGGAAATGTGCTGTTACGGCTGACATTGCTAAATCAATTATTTGGCGTCCTGCTTTGAAGCAGGTATTAGATTCTGTCGACCAATTTAAATGTGGGGGCATTCCATCATATTTCCAAGACAAGATGGAAATGAGAAAACCTTTTCTTGACACCTGTTATTATAGTAAATGGCTCTTTAATAATGATTTATTTATTAATATAAATAATAATAAATAAATGTATGTTAGTGTTTGGCCGAGCTTCTCCTGATCGCCACGGTTTATTTATTTTTCTGTAGATTAGTTCTGTATCCGACTGATTTTTTACTGTTAAATATTTTATTTTTATTTTATAAATTGGCATTTTCTATCGAAATATTATGTATAGAAAGTCTTCATTTAAATTAATTTACTTGATAATATCGAGAGCTGCTATCAGAAATATTGAAAATAATAGAAAAGAAAAGTGCACTATCTATGCAATGGAATGTGTGGCGAACACAGAATTGTAGGTATACAGCGGCGTTGGCTGAACGTTCCTTAGGTTACTCATACGCCCCAGCTCACCTTATACATAAATTGGTTGCGAAATTAATTACATATTTAGCATTTATAGGATAACTATAAACTGTTGTATAGTTTCATTTACAAATTGAATTTCCAGCGAATTACGAGCTTTCAGCGCTTGAATCATGATTCCCAAAAAAAAACAGAAAAATTTCAAATTTTGGTTACGTAAAATATGTAGCACATGCATGCATTCTTAAAGTAGATACACTATTGTGGTCCAAAAATGCATGTGAAAAAGTAATGTCGGAATTTTTATGCTCAGGCCACTTACGATTGTTCTATACTGAAAAAAGTATATCCTTATTCGCCCAAGGCGCCCAAAGTTGTCCATGTATTTTATATGGAAAAAAAACAACTTTTCATAGAATGTAATGTACACACAATATGTACTTGTTTGCATACCTGCATTCGCCTAATGAGACACTCTACTTTTGATTACTAACATCACCCTTCTATTTTAAGTCAAGGAATTTTTGGTAATACATATATTAATAGCTATCTACACAAGTTCGCAGGTAATTCACGAAATTTTGGTAAAATTTACAGCATAAATGAAACTTCAAATTTGCACTTAATTGCATGTTTATGTGTAAGTATACGTACTGCCAAAAGTAGTCATATGTCTGTGTGAATACAAATGATGTGTACATAAATACCTACACTTAGCGCAAGCAACTACAACGAACGAAAATAATCAAGTACAAATAAATAAATGATAATTGCAAATTGAGTGACAATGTGAGGGGCTGAAGAACGTACATACATAACTAACATTATTGAGTATGGCTATGTTGAATTTTGTATACATACATACGAGTATACATATCGTCGTTTAAAGTACAAAACCGCGTATCGTCATTCTGGAAAACTGCATAACTGATATTTGCTGCCGAAAATTGGAATTGCTCACACAAGCTCTTGGCTCAGTCCTTACCTATTCGTCCTGAAATATAAATACCAGCCAGAAATGCGATTGCTTTATAAAAAAGAGAAACATTTTGAAATATGAGTGTTTTTACTTTCTAGAAAATAATTTATTCAACCTCACATATGCGGTTTTTCATTTTGTTGATATGCGGTTTTGTACTTTAAGCGACAATATGTTTCTATATGTTGTATGTGTGAATGCTTTGGTAACAACGCGCTGAAAAATTAGCTATTTTCCTCTGCTTGAAAGCATTTGTGAATTAACGCGAAAATACGTTATTATGTGGTAAATAAACAAAATGTTGCATTTTTTATAATTTTTTTTTTTACAATTTATTAAACCAAAACTGAAAGGGCGTGGTACTAAAAGTATCAAAGGTGAGAAAGGAACAAAATAAGGTTGCCACAAAAAAATTCAAATTAATGTAAGGCAATTATAAACTAAGTTCAATATTGCAATATGATTGCCAAAATCTTATTAATATTATAAATGGGATTGAATGACAGAATGTGTAAGTGAGTGAGTGAGTAAGGCACTCGGCACATTACGCGTCTAATCAAAGTAGAGTAATCGTTTCGTCATGCCGAAACGAATGCATGACGTCTCGGCCTCTGTACACTTGCACGCCGTGCATAAGTCACCAGCTAATAAACACTTTCTACACATAACAAATTTTCTGGCCGTTCTTTCGCAACGACGCACTTCTGCAAATATTTATATGAAATATTGCGTAAATGCTTGTGGTTTAATACAATTTGCACGAATTTTAGCACGAAATCATTCATTTTCAATTATTTTCTATTGAATTGGCAAATAAATTTGATTTCCAACACAAAAAAGTATAGAAATGATGATTTCAAAACTGCAAGCGCCTTACAATGTTGGGCGCTTCGATTCATGAAGCTTTTATGATAAGACGAAAACAGGATTTTGAATCGTAATGTACAGAGCTTCATTGAAATACATGTGTTCGGCATAAAAGCTTTATACTTTAGTATGCCGAAACGATTACACTACTATGATTAGGAGCTTAATGTGCGGAGTGCCTAAGAAAGGGAGAAAGGGAGTGGATAAGTTTATGATTAAACCAATGAGTATGTGATTGAATGAATGAGTGAGTGAAAGATTCAATAAGTGAGTGATTGTGTGATTGAGTGAAAGAGTAAATGAATATGTTTCTTAATTATTCACTCTAAAATTGAATTGGATACACATTTTACACGCAGCTAATCTGCACTAACATATACGTAGGATATTTCTTTAACCCTGCATCACTATTGTCAGGGTGTAAAGTACCCAGTAAGTTCAATTTCTTATATAATGTAAATGTTTTAAGAACAATCGTCAAAAAGTTTAGACGTAATCCTCATTTACATATTTCTGAATGTCTTAGGGTATATAAATGTATTATACGAAAAGCCGATGTTTTCATAAAAGCGGGTTTAAAAAGTGATTGGGTGTAATACACCCATTATATTAGTAGCGTTATGACTTTTCTGCATGCTTAACACACAAAGTGAGTAATTGAGGTGCATTTTTTATGCAAACGAAACAAGAAAAATAATTAAGAAACAATTATTGAACCATTACTTACTCGCTGTTCTTTCAGCTCTAACTTTATTTTCAAAATATTTTTAAGGAAGTTGCAAAAATTTTTATTCTATTTAATTTATATATATAAGTCACGTGAAATATTACGATTCGGCTATCAAACGGAAGAGTTTTAAGTAAGCAGGGTTCTTAAGCTTCCGTTACTAACATGAATTTGACAACACGGTTACCAACATCGCTTCCTCAGACCGAAGTGTAGAGAATGTTAATTTCTTCACATTAAATACATGTATTTGGATTGTATATTTAATTCTCATTCCCAGTTGTTGTTTTAATCAATATCTAGTAAAATAAACATACAAAACCAAATAGCGAAATTTCATTTAATACTATTTAAAATAACACGTTAACAAAAATTCGAGTAAAGTTATAAATTTTTAAATAAGTTCAAAAATTAAATTTTTGTATTTGTATTGATAAGATAACAGTACATAATAAATATATTTATATGAATAATTGGTCTTCATTTCGGCTTGAAATAGAAAAATTTGCTTTAAACACAAGAACCTTCCGCACTCAAAACCTACACTAACATTGGCATCACACACCGAATCGCCGAAAAGGAATAAAACACAAGATAGCAGCGATCAATCTACACCGGCATCAACAAGATCACTGATCAACCGAATGATATACAAAGAAAAACAGTTCAAAAAGATCTACTCTGTTGTACAGAAAGCTTTAAGAATATGTTCAGTCTGTGACACAGCATGTTAGTAACGAAAGGTTGAGCTACATTTGAATAGGGTTGCTATCTGTGTAAAATGTTGAATTCAGCTTCAGTTACCGCAATATGCTGATAAACGGAAAAGTGCCAAATTAAAATTTATTATAAAAAAAAATATCTCAAAGCTTATTTTCAAAAATATTGCCGAAGAGGGTTGCCATCTTGGGCTTGATGGAAATTCGACAGGATAATTCTTCCTTGTAGGAAAAAACGTAAGAATACGAAGAAGGCGTTCAAATTCTCTAACACAATCCAGATTTTTTTAATCAACGGCTAAAAATACTTTAAGTTGCGTTTAAAATTATCTACTCATATCGAAAAATTAAAAAAAAAAAATTAAAAATTTATTCAAAAACTCTGTCAGGTAAAAAAAAAATCTGTCTTCAAATTCTAGCACAAAAACATAGTTAAAACCTTTTTTAACATCTGCACCACTTGAGGCACCGAAAACCCAATAACATCACCTTGTTTCAAACAAATTCACGACCAAAATTACAGCTTTACACATCTACCGCTTTTCCAAACAAAATTAATATCAAGTATCATATTTTTATCACTCCTTTACCTTTCTTTTGCAGAAACAAATACCTGTTCACCCGATGAGTATTCATGTAAATCCGGCGAGGGTGAATGCATTCCATTAGCTTGGATGTGTGATCAGAGCAAAGATTGCTCCGATGGCTCCGATGAGGCTTCATGCAGTAAGAGAATTATAAAAATCAACAGAATTTCAAATTTTTTTTGTTAAGAATACTATATCAACTTCTGAGTGGAAGATCTACCTATCTCGGCAGCCAGTTCGAAAACGCCCCAACTAAAAAAAAACTTTCAAGAACACCCTGTTTCAGAATTTTATTGAACATTAACCTATCTCAAAATTTTGTTGAAGAACGCCCAATGTCACTTCGAAATGTATTGAAAATGTCCTGAGGTATGGCGTTCTTGAAATTTTTTTCGAAATTGGGGGCTTTCGAATTGGCTGCCGAGATAGGTCGATCTCACACTCAGCAGTCGATATGTAGTCTCCTAAATACCTACTTGTTTCGTACATATTTCTCTTCGCTATTCAAACGATTGCTCTTCTTTTGGTTGCGTTGCGTACTTTTGTACTTTTGCTGTACTTATTCCAACTTTCTTTTGCGTCTAAGTTTTTGGGTGTTTGGTTGTATTTCACTATCGTTTCGCAATTGAAAAGGCTTTTGCTTTTATTACTGTTAAGTATTTGGATACAACATGTGGTTTATGTATATGTACGAGTACATACATAATTATAACTTTTCGAATGAAAGTTTTGTATTTAAAATTTTAGTTGTTGTTTTACGTAATTTAAACAGCCACCTATTTTCATGCGGTAGCGGTTTATTGTTTAAATATGATTTCTGGTGTTGGTTAACTGGTGCGATTAAGGGCCAAATTCACAGTGCGTAGTTAACTCACAATTTTTGTACTGAAAATCTGTAGTTAACTGCCGATTCTGAGTTAACTACGCCCTGTGACTTTGGCCCTAAAACGTTTACCGAAATTTAGTTTATACTCCCTATTATTGTTTTTTTTTTAATTATTGTTTTTTTTATTAATTTAATTTTTCGTTATTGCTTTATTTTCTATTTTTTATTTTATTTGATTTAATTTAATTTGAATTTACTTGATTTTGTTTTATTTTATTTTCTATTACTTTATTTTATTTTATTTTATTTTATTTTATTTTATTTTATTTTATTTTATTTTATTTTATTTTATTTTATTTTATTTTATTTTATTTTATTTTATTTTTATTTTATTTTTTTTTATTTTATTTTATTTCATTTTATTTTATTTTATTCTATTCTATTCTATTCTATTTTATTTTATTTTTTTTATTTTATTTTATTTTATTTTATTTTATTTTATTTTATTTTATTTTATTTTATTTTATTTTATTTTATTTTATTTTATTTTATTTTATTTTATTTTCATTTTATGCTATTTTTTTATTTTTTTATTTTGTTATATTCTATTTTTTTATTTTATTTAATGCATTTTCTTAGGTGCATTACACAATGAAAATGCGTACATAAATATTTCTAAATATACGTTCATTAAAATACACACATTTATATTAAATTAAATAATATATAAATTTACATTCATATGTACTATGTAAAATTAACATACATGTACATAGATATGTATCTGTATGTATGTACATAATTATACTTTTTAGCTAATTAAAATGAGATTTGGCCTTAAGGCCAAATACTCTATGAAATGTAGATAGTTACTACAAACGCTTGGTAATACACGCTTATTCATGTATAAATATGTATGTTATATTCAAAGTATAAGCTACAATCTCATTAAAATAATTTCACTTCATTACATGTAGGTACATATTTCACTGACATACATACATATATGTTTAAGTTACATGCATTTTAAAAAATTTTTGGTTATTTCATTATCTCACTTTTCACCTGTACATAGATACATATATGCATGCACTTGTACAAATTTTAGTGTCAGTTACGAAAATCCTCCTTTGTATTAATAATCACCGCAACGTAATTAATTACACCTTGCTAATAGCACATTTTTCTCTCTCCCTATTCCTCTCTCGTCGACTTACTACTGCGTAACTATCAAATTACGTTCATCTTTCTGCAACGTGGAATTTGCTGTTGGCACTCTTTTTTTTTGGTACTACTTTTGTGGCATTATTGTGCAGATGAGACCTGCCGCTCCGATGAGTTCACCTGCGGCAATGGACGTTGCATACAGAAACGTTGGGTCTGTGACCACGACGACGACTGTGGCGATGGCAGTGATGAGCGCGACTGCCCGCCAAAAGCGTGTAACCCACACAGCGAATTCACATGCACCGATGGCGGTTGCATCACCAAACGTTGGATGTGCGATGGTGAACCAGATTGCTTGGATGGCTCCGATGAGGAGGTAAGTAGTGGAATTTTACTTAATTTGCCATTATTTTTTGGCATAATTTATGAGTTTTTTATTTAGATGACATAATGAGGTTTACAGAAAGAAAAATTGCTGTTTTTTCAAATAAATTGGAAACTAAAAATAGAAATTTAGTTATTATTTGATAACAGCGATTCTTGAAAATTTTTTAATGCGTGGAGGGTTTTTGGGAATCTGATTTTGTTTCAATCTGTTAAGTGTATTCGAATGCTTCGTTTTTAGTAAATCGTTTATAAACTTACGAGTCCTATCCTATGAGCGCTTGGAACGCATTTATGAGCACTACTCGTGTCACGGTATTCAAATCGTGCTTGGTCTCTTCAATGCCAGATTGGTAAAGGAAGAGATCTTTGATCTCATCGTCTGAAAATTCAGCCTCCACGATGAAATGTCCTATAATTGACTGAGGCTGACGACCTGCCGGGGCCCGAAACTAGAGACTACAATAAAAAGAGAGAAGATAGGCTGAGGTACTTCAGTGCAAAAATGTTGAAATTCCGCTTGATCGGCCGTTTTCGAAAACTTGATTAGCAAGTTAGGTGATTAAGAGAAGTTTAAAAATGAGAGGCTTTTAGTCAATATCTTGTTCGCGTGGAAGCTAAATGCCGAAGAAGATCTAAGGACAAACTGTAGGAGCCTCAGAGCTAGGGTAATTGACTAAGTTTTCAAATTGTTAGGCCTTTTTTATTTGAAATCTTGATTTTTCGAACACCGCGTAAACTGGATTTTTGCAGTAGAATAAACCGATTTAGATTTAATCAACTAGTTTATTTACAAACCAGAATCTAAATTTTCAAGATATTTATTTTATTGAAAATAGGAGTACGTACATTGTTTTTATTAATTTTATATCTACGGCTGAGTGGAAGAGGGAGCTTTCTTGGCAGCCGGTTCGAAAACACCTTATCTCAGCAAATTTTTCAAGAACACCCTATTTCAAAATTTTTTTGAATAACGCCCTATCTCGGAAATTGATTGAAGAACGCCATAACCCAGCAAATGGTTCAAGAATGCCCTATCTCAATGTAAACTCATATATCGGCAGCTGAGATAAGGCTTTTTTGAACCATTTGTTAGGGCAATCTTCAGCAAAATTCTAAAATAGGGCGTTCTTTAACCCAAATTTTGAAGTAGAATTTTCTTGAGTACTGTACTGTAGAGAAAATATATGTAAAACAAGTCATTTTTAGCAAAAAGAAACCGACTTCAATTCTGATATAAAAATATATATATATATGTATATATATATCCCATGATCCACTGATCGGATCTCAACCAGATTTGTATGGGACCACCTCTAAGACACTATCTTTCCGATGCAAATTATCGAAATCGGTTGACGTGGTCCAAAGTTATGCGGTAACATACATAAAAAAAAAATAAAATAAGAATAAAAAATATTCCGACAAGCTGATAACCTCCTTTTTTTGGAAGTGGGTTAATTAAACCGCCTTATCAATTTTTTCTTTAATTTGAAAATGGTGAACCGGTGATTTTCAAACAGCCGTTTTCCGAATAACTCAATAACCGGTTTTCTAAAAAGGCGAATAATTGAACTTCTTACTTATAACAAAAAGGATATAGTAAAGTGCATAAAATTACAACGACTGCGTTTGCTTTGCTGATGATACTCCGACGAAAAAATTCTTCGATTGGCATCCACGGGGGACAATGAAAACTGGGGCGCTCACAAACATAATTATGTTAGGGGGAATGACCAAAGTATGTAGGAAATGTCGTGGAGAGGAAATTGGCATGCCTTTTTTAAACTTAATCCAAAACGATGTACGGTTTTAGCCAGTGTGGCCACGGATAATTTGTTTCCCCACCAAAAACTATCAATTTTTTTTTTAGTTTAAAAGTATTATTTTTTTCTAACACAGCTAGTACAACAAAAACAAATAAACTCCGTATGATAATTCTTTTTACTGTGCAGACTTGTACACGTCGGGAATACTCTCGATGCGACCTAAAAAATTCTCTTGTAGTCATGATACTCGAGCAGCCACATAGAATATGCTCTGAGGTTTCCGCCACCAGCCCACAAAACCTTTAATTCAAATGGTACTTTAACTTGCATTGCCCTATCAGGTAGCCAACAAGAGTTCTAAGACTTTCTCGGCTAAGTTTAAGTAGTCTTTCGGAGTTCCTACTGAAAGAGGTTATGGATCTCTTTGATTGTCTCATTCCCTTTAATTTCCGCCAGTGCGCAGCAATCCGAAATCCTAAGTAGTTGTGCAGTGTACCCTTTAAATGTACCACAAAAAGGCTCGGGATCATGTAAGCGCATTTGGCGTCCATCTCTGCAAGACAGTCAGCCCCGTCGTTGCCTTCAAACGCTTTATGTCCCGGAACCCACCACAGTGTTACTCTATATTGGGTAGAGTTTTACAGCTATCCACAAGGGCTTTAAAACTGCCTGAATACGCGACATAATATTTATTCGGGCGTCATTTGACCTTCTACGAAGGCATGCGAAGTATGCGATTGCGAACACAGCCGCCTGTTATATTGACGGACTTTTTTGGAATATTGGTCACAATACGCCTGCCGCTATACTCCCGTTGTCCGTCTTCGATCCGTCGGTGTTACCTTACTTGGGCCTCTTCGTAAATCATAGTTATTATCGCTTCATAGCAGACCATTTCAGGAGTTCGCACCTTTAATTCTAGGTAGGGTTTGTAAAGACTAATTTTGGTAGCATCATGTCCGTTAGCTTGATAGCGGGATAATCCAGGAATGCTTTAAGAACCTTCAAATGATCCCAAAAATCTCCATATTTCATTCTGATCATATTGAGCAGTCATAGGGTGCTTTAGCAGACCTTTTTTTTCCAAGTTAAGAGACAAAGGATTAATGCCTGTATTGACACCAATAAATAGCATCCATTGGACAAGTGCGCATGGCTCCTGTGATAGCCACGCAGACTAGTCAGTGGAGATTGCTCAAGGTGGCACCCGCATTTACTTGCTTATATTTTGGCCAGCAGGCCAGTGTCCCATATGTAATAACGGGTTTTATTACCCTATTGAAAGGCCAGTACGTTATTTTGGGTACTGGTATTCCCCAAGTCTTACCACAATGTCTCTGATGGGCATAAAATGCCCTTGTAGCCTTGTTGGTATCATCCGAGAGATGTGAGTTCCGATTTAGCCCTTTGTCTAGAGTTATTTATCGTCGCCTCTTCTGAGAACTCAATTTTTGTCCCTACCAATGCGAATATAGTGAAGTTGAATCTCATTCTGTTGGTAAATATGGCAATGGTGGACTTCAGTGGGTTTACTGACAAGGCCATGTTTGTTATCGATACATCATTAATTTATGATGATCGGCATCTTTCTCGATATTTGCGTCGGTATTTTACAATTATCAACATATTAATCGATACATAGCATCCTCGATTTCTTATTTATTTAAATCATGAATCATTTTGATCGAAATGATTGTTTGTATTCCTACCGATATATTATGAAAAGAACTACAGGATTATTGAGAAAATACCTCGATTAAGCATTTGCATTACCAGCCAGATGATTAGCAAGTTCCAATATCACTGTGCTATATACAATTGTTGTCTCTATTTTCTACACTATTTGTTTGTGTGTTGCAAAATGTAATTAAATTTCGCATCTATTTTCAAATTAATATTAAGCTTGTATATCTGCTTGCATTCTCAGAACTTTCTACCTCAAACTAACTAAACACTTTTAACAGAAATTCCCTCAAGTCAATTTCGAATTCTTTGAAATGCCACAAAATGAGCGCGCTTAGAGCAGACATTTGTGTGTGTGTAGTGAAACTTAATTAAGTCCAGCTTGCATGTACGGAATCTGTAGAACACCAATTTTCACAACAATACTAACAGCAGTGGCCTAACCTGTGCTATTGTACGTACATACATACAGTCAGCGTCAAAAATATGAGTACCCTTATGTTGTGACGATTTTCTATATTTATATTTTCCATACCATTTTTTTCTATTTTATAAAAATATAGTTTATTCTACAACAAAAACTAACAGAATAATTTTTTTCAATTTCATACACAACTCGAGAAAATTTTTGCAATGCCAAAATATTTTCATCAAAATTTTCAACTTTTCTATCAAATTCCATATAACATTTAAAAAATGAAAATCACTTTTCAGTAAAATTGCTTTCATGAAATTGGCTGTTAGAAAAATAAAATCTATTTTTATGTGGAAGAAAATGCGTAACACCCTCGATAAAAAAAAAAAATTTCCAAAATCAACGCTAATTTTTATAGACTTAAAACGTGCACCCTAAGTACAATTTAATGGGCTACAAAACTGCATACTAAAAATTCTAAGAAATCGAATTGAAAAGTAGAAAATTTTTAAGAAATTTTTTTTTGTATTTCTTGCATTTTCCCGAGTTGTATATGAAATTGACAAAATTGATTCTGCTGCTTTTTGCTGTAGAATAAATATTTTTTTTTTATAAAAATTAAAAAAAGAAAATATTGTTACGGAAAATATAAATAAAGAACAGTCGGAGTATTCATATTTTTGACGCTGATTGCATGTATGTATGTATGTTTGTAAGTCCAACCGCAACATCAATGTGAGTTCGACGCCAAACGAACAATGAAGAACTGAAACAATGCAGCTAGCAAGGTAAGAAAAACATGTTGCCAGTATTATAACCGTCGCCGTTGGTATTTTGTCACTACCGATGTGGCCGTCGCCATAATCCCTACCGCTTGCGATGCGCCAGCCACTGGTCAGGTCCAGTGTTGCCAAGGAAAAATTTCGTTTGGAGCTAAATTTTTTTAAGGTTGAGCATTTATTTTTTATTTCGGCAATTCTAATAAAAACAACGAATTTTATAAGTTTAAGTGCTGCAAAAATGCTTTAAAACCCAAATAAGGTGCATATATTTCGAATTCTATTGCTCAGATATTTGAATTGAGTAATTTTTTCGCAAAATTTTTCTGGAAAGTTTTACTTCCAG